TTAATTTTTTCCGATACTTTTACTCTATGTGAATGATTTTTTTATTTGTGACTATTTTTTGAGACAGCGTTCTTTTGCTAACTGAAACAAAACCCCAAAATATACATATAAATATTATATAAATTATTATATAAATCTAAAAATTTTATATATTTGTATTATTATATAAATATATAAATTAATTCAAAATTTAAAAAAATGTTAATGAAAATGATAAATATTGCCTTGGAAACTAACTGAAATTAAGTTGAAATACTAAAAAAAAAATGAACTCAAACTGCAATTAAAAGCTAAATAGAATACTGTATATACATTTATTGTCTGCATTGTAATATATTTTGTACAAACTTTTTTCTTTGCTTTATTAAAAATAAAGTTGTCCTCCAAAGGGGGTGGGTTAGTGGCGGGCAAAAAAAAAAAAAAAAAGCTAAATAAAAGTATAAAAAAGCTAATTCAACATATTAATAAATATAATAATAACAACAAATAAATAAATAATATATTAAAATTGTTACACTTTTCAGACAAAGTTAATACTTCAATGTGCTGAGCTTTGAAAAAGCAATAAAATTGTCCCTGTAGCTCAACTAATTGCTCGCAACGCCACCACAATGGGTTTGATCCCAAGGGAACACACGTATAATACGTTCCTCAAAGCATCTGCCAAATGCATAAATGTCAAATTTGTCTCTGTCACACCCAGAGTTTTGTTCAAGACTGCCTGATGTTTCTTTCCAAACCGTTCTGAGACCTTCCTGTCTTACATTGAAGCAAACCCCTGAAGTGAACATGCCAAACACAAAGCCCTCAGTTAACTTTAACAATCATGTGACCCACTTTAACCACCTCGTCCATCGTGATAAATGTGAATAATCAGCCCTCTCGCATGATTCTAGTGTATGATAACATCTCCTCGAGCTGAATCTAGCCTCTCCATCCTCTCCGAGATGTTCTGACGTGAACGCCTGCAGGTGAGATGACAAGCCGATATGTAATGTATGAAATGTAATATTACCAAGAGCTTTCAGAAGTTCATCGAAATTCTCACTGCTCTTCATTTTCCAGGTGCCGGCGAAGTTGGGAGGCATTTTGAGCTTCAGATTGTCCTGCTCTGTCTTCTCCTCTGGTCCCTCGCTACACTTACTCTCCTTTTCTACTCTCTTTGTGATCGTCCGTTGCCTTTCTGTCTTATGTTCTCACTCACCCTGTCCCTCCCCTCTCGCCTCAACTGTCTCCCTCTCTCTCTCTCTCTCTCTCTCCCTCTCCCGCCCACTGGCAGAGCTGCTGTCTCACCGTTCAGACTGCAAGCAACCTGTTCCAGCATCGGCCACAAAACCATCCACTAATGTCTCCCTCTCATCCCTCAGCCGTAAATCACTCCGTGTTGTGGGTGTGTCGTCAGTTCGGTACGGGATGCATCACTGTATTCCCGTCCCGATGTGTCCAGTGATCCGTGACGCACTCAAGCTGTGATTTTTAACACTTGTGTTTGTGTAGAAGCGCCTCCACACAGGTGACAGGTTTCACTCGGAAAAATCACATGGTTGTCCCACTGCAATGAACTTCAGATTTGTATCAGTCCGTCTGCATGAGCCAGTTGATATTATGCCAGAGTTTGACTTTGTGAGTATTTTTGCCTTTTCCCAGTTTAAATACCTTAAAACAAGTTACATTTTCTTAAGAAGCAATATAGATTTTTTTTTTAGATATATATCTTTAATATTAAAAGGGATAGTTCACTATGAAATTACTTTTTGGTATGTTTTATCTTACCTCAAGGGCATCCAAGATGTAGATGTCTTTGTTTCCGCAGTAGTTTCAACTTTGATATTTTTAGGTCAAACCGTTCTTGTCTGTCAGTCATATAATGGAGGTCTATGGTCACCACCTCAAAGAGCATGCACAGAGAAGTCCAAATTAAACATGATTTAATGACTCGTAAATGTATACACATTGATGGCCTAAGACACAAAACGAGCGATTTGTGTGAGAAAACCAAAAATTTTTTTAATTTGGACTTGGTGACCATAGACCTCCATTATATGACCGATAGACACGAACGGTTTGACCAACAAAAAAATAATAATAAATAAAATAAAAATTGAAAATACTGCGGAAACAAAGACACCTACATCTTGGATGCCCTTGAGGTAAGATAAAACATCAAAAATTAATTTCAAAGTGAACTATCCCTTTAAGGGATATTAAGGATACAAAATAAGGGGTATTCTGTCTTACAGCAGTTGTAGATTTATTCACTTGATTTATACAAAATTCTGCCAGTGCAATGAATTTAAAGTTGGCATGAAGTAGAAATTCGATCTATTTTTCGAAATGTATCTTAATGATCTTATTCATCCATGCATTCTTCTTTTTTTTGAGCTCGTTAAAAACAACTAAAAAAAACTATTTCTCTGGTGACGAATGCTGGACTTCTCCAATCGTTTAGTCCACCTAAACGCTGACCCTTTCTTACACACTACTAACTTGCCAGCAGAATTTTTTAGGTATTTAAAAAAAAAAATTGTTAATTTTTTGCAGCTTTACGATTTGAGACATTTAGTAGCAAATAAACACACACACACACACACATGTATAGACCATTTCACAAGATGTAAACAACACTGGTCCAGAAACACTTCCTGTTTCAGTTTGTAACTGTTTTCTTTATTTCACATGTAAAGAAAACATCTTAAAGATGTTTGTTTAACTTTTTGATTCAGTTTTAAATGTTCTGTTGGTTGTATTTTATCCCAGCTTTTATGTAGTGTTAAAAAACTGAAACAGGAAGTGCTTCTGGACCAGTGTTGTTTACATCTTGTGAAATGGTCTATATATAAATTAGACATTTTCAATGCCCTATTTATAAATTTTAGATTAGAAAAAAAAAATATTATTAGGGGTATCATGGGTATCATCTCAGATAAACCTTACCATACACATGAAAATATATGCTAAAATGGTATAATTATAAATTTGTAATTGCATTTTTTGTGTCACAAAATATTAATTTGAGTTTTAATTGTTTTATCATATAATAACAAGATCATGGAGTGATAGAAGACTTTAACTAAAATGTTTTGAGGTTGAAGTCATCCCTAATATTTTAGAAATGATGACCTCTAAAGCAGAACTACAACACGCAACTCAAATGTCAGTCAATATTTAAAGGGTTTATTTTGCGGTTAATGACCGGCTAACTTTTACATTATCTTATGTAGCTACTCAACAAATTTAAAAAAGTTTGATGTTTGAGTTTAAATAATTTTATATTTTAAACAAATATATTACAAAAATGTATTACAATCTACAAAACAATAACTTTTTCTACAGGAGAAACATGAAACTAGCACTGCGGTCATTATGCAAAAATATTTTGGTTGACCAATCAGAATCAAGTATTTCAGAAAGCATTTGACAGCAACATTAGACCAATTCCTGGACGCCATGCATCTCATTATATGTCTGCCGGACTAAAGCACAGCTACAGTCCTTCATGATGACAAAATACTTTCTGTACAAGGTCTTAATTAGGTTTGGTCACAAGCTTTGTGCTTTGTCCAGCATGAAGGTCTTTATATTTCAATTCTACCGTTCCCTGCCCTCAAAAGTCCTTGAACGAAAACTCGGTTCCCACATATAAACACTCCAGTGGTTGTGAAAAGGCTTCCTCACTCTGGTGAAGTTTATTTCAGTGTATTAAGCCATGAGAAACCAGGAGCAGTCATTTTTCAGCTTCAGTCTGAGAAGCTTCGAGAGCTCGTTCTGACGCCGCACGCTGAGCTTTTCTTCTCCAAGATGGACACAAATGAACTCCACAACCTCTTAAACGCTAACTGCTTTCCAGAAGGCACATTAAATGCTTAGTACAATGCATCTCGGGACCAACAGCTTCTTCGTCTCGTGTCATCTTGAGAAACAGAACAAGCTGTTCTGCTGAGAAAATGCTCTGATTTGAGCAAACACAAAAACATGATGAAATTAAGCACTAATTACAGCTAAACACTGATGATAATTTCACTTGACTGTATTCATGGAGTTAGAGCACACAAAAAATGAGCTAAAAGCAACAGACCCACATTAACCACCATACAAATGGAAAACAGATGATTGAGTTTGAGGATTTAATGGAGCTCTAAAGTAAAAGTGAATTTTATTTTGACTAAAATGTTGTGGTTGAGGTCAAGTATGCCTAATATTTTTGAAATTATGCTGGGTTTTGATGCCCTTCAACTTTAGCTCACGTATTACACAGCTACTCGACAAAATGAAAAAACAAAAAAGTTTGGAAATGAAATATTGATTTAAATTACTTAAATATTATATGAAAAACTCCACTAAGACAAATAGTCCATTAAAATGTACAATCTCCCCTGCAACAAGACAAACACCGATATTGCAGTAATACTGAATTCCTCTGAGGAATGAGTATATTGAACAGAAATTAAATATTATATTCATCAAAATAAACAGAAAATAGTACAAACTTTGCTAAAACGATTGTTTTAAACTTAGACATTTTTATATCAATGTACTTGCCTCATGTATGCTGGCTTGCCACCTCATATACGTTAATAAAATTACTATGATTATTAATAAAATTAAAATGATTTATTTTTTACTCAAACTCTGTTTCTCCACACTGTAAAAAACAATTAGTTAGGTTTACTTGATTTTATTATGCAAACTCATCGTCTTAATTTCATTAGGTAAAAGCATAACTTAATTGCATCAAGTTATTCTTACTTAATCACTTAAAGTTTTACTAACTTAACTTAATTCGATCTGTGATCTGAGGAAGTGTACTCCCACTATTACTATTTTTGGCTTTATTTTACCATTACAATTTCATTTGCTATCGTTATGGGGTTAAACCAGTCAAGTAATGTTTACAATGTTTTTCTGAGTAAGTAAGTTCAACTAATTATTGTTTGGACATTAAGTAAGTTAAAAAAAATCTTAGTAAGAACAATGTTAGATTTTACAGTGAAACATATATTTTGGGAAGAGTGTAAAGCACATGTTTCTTATCCCCGTTGTTGTACCCTACAGAAGTACCTTGGGCAACTATGTATACACCATGGTATATCAATATGGTAATCAAACAGTAACATGATATAGTACCGTCTGATTCTATCACTGTGTGTCGTGGTACAGTACTCTTTTGTAAGGGGGGCCAGGGTAGTTCTTGTCATGCTGGAATGTGACAATATAGAATCAGCCTCTCTCATAGCCATTCAAATCAGTAATAAATAATTCTAAACATCATGGGAATGTTACGGAAAGTCTTTTTTTTTTTTTTTCAAGTGCTGCAGTCTTGTATAAGCAGTTAGGAGCCATAAAATAAGACCATATTTCATTCATCAAAGCCATAAAGCAGCACATTCTTCCCCCCCCTCTCTCTCTCTCTCGCTTGCGATGCAGTCAGATCTAGGTCAGTCGATGCTGAATTCCCTCTGTGATGCACATTGCATCTCAAAGGGCATCAGCTGAGAAACTCTCACTGCTCCAGACATAAAAGGGCTAAAATCCCGCACAACATATGGACTTCCTTCTGTCTAACTCTCCGACACAGAGGAGAGCTCTTCGATTCGACTGCTCTGTAATCACGTTACGGTGCGGAGGGAGAAGTCTCGTCTGAGTTAGTCTGTGTTTAAATGTCTTCTGCTTTTCTTTTGTGACTCACTTTTAGTGCCTCGAGACAGTAGCAGCAGAACAAATGGCTTTTGAGTTGACATGAAAACAGAACAAATATACATTTTAAAATATCCTGTCATCAGAAACCGAATATAAAACCATAAAAGAGGTCAGTCCGACAGATGTAGCCTACAGTTTTGCTTATAGTTATTAGCCATGCAAATAAAACAATTGTTATACATGTTTTTATATTCAGAATTAAAATGATTATAAATACTAAATACATTTATTGTCTTACTTATCATTCATTTTATTATTTATTTGATATTAGACATTTTTTTTTACAATCCCTACCTGTTATTTGTATTGATGCTTTGTGTATTTGTATTTTATTTGTTTGTTTATTTATTTTAAATTAATTATTTTTTATTATTAAAGCGATTTTATAATTATTTTTATTATTTAAATGTATTATTAAATTGTTTATTAATAATTTAATTATTTTTTGTTATTAAAATGAATTTAATTTATTATTTTATTATATATATATATATATATATATATATATAGAGAGAGACCATTTCACAAGATGTAAACAACACTGGTCCAGAAGCACTTCCTGTTTCAGTTTTTTAACACTACATAAAAGCTGGGATAAAATACAACCAACAGAACATTTAAAACTGAATCAAAAAGTTAAACAAACATCTTTAAGATATTTTTCTTTACATGTAAAATAAAGAAAACAGTTACAAACTGAAACAGGAAGTGTTTCTGGACCATTGTTGTTTACATCTTGTGAAATGGTCTCATATATATATATATATATATATATATTTATATCTTTATTTTTTTCTCATTTTGTTGTAAATAATAATAAAAAAAAGCCTAACAATGTCACTGCTAAATACCTGTAAATATTTTGCTATTCCGCCATGTTTTTCAGTGATACACCTCATAGACAGTAAAAGAAATGACCAACTCGTATAGATCGGGGCTTACAGAAAATCCCGAGCATCCCATTGGTATTAAACCATAGTATTTACGACTTTGTGGTGGCGGTCAAGTACGATATTTCATATTTCCGACATGACTTGAACCAGAGAGGGCGGAGTCAGGCGTCTGTTCCCATGGTGCTTTGCGCGCAGGTGTCATGGCGGCTCTCTAGTCAGTATCAGTGCGGGCGTTTATTATTGTTAACGAAGCGCCTTAATTCTTCTTCTGATGTATGTAACAAATCTAAGGGATTATCTGACTTTATCGCGGACGCACTAATACCTCTTCAGGGCACGCCGAACGCTTACAGAAGCAGTTTATTTACTCAAAAGCTAAGATACGCTAGCATCTGTGTATGAAGTGAGTTTGTAAACTCGGAATAACTCATAAAACGGATCATACACGCGCTTATAAACTCTTTTCCACCACTAATCGATTTCGAAACGAAGACTATGAGCACACAGGTGAATATTTACACACGTTTTATCAGTCTTATTTATAGTATGATAATAAGAATAATGATTGTATGTGATGTAAATATGTGAAATGTTCTGTTTTTAGTACAGTATACTATTCAAGCAGGAGCATGGTGAGTCCACACACACACACACACACATGTTCTGAGTTACAGCTCGAATCTAGTGAGCCAGAATATTTGGGCATCATACACACCGTGTTCTTGCCCCTGCAGCTCATGAAGATGCCATCTGGACAGCGGCATGGGGTCGCAGCGAGAAGGACGGGTCAGAAACCATCGTGACCGGATCTTTGGACGACCTGGTAAAAGTGTGGAAATGGTAAATCAATGAACAAAGTGCATCTGAAGTGTCAACATTTTTTATTTATTTTTTCTGAAGATACGACACTTTTTCTGATGGTTCGCAGGTCGGACGAAAAGCTGGAGCTGCAGTGGACGCTGGAGGGTCACCAGCTGGGTGTGGTGTCGGTGGACATCAGTCAGAACGGAGCAATCGCCGCCTCCACCTCTCTTGACGCTCACATTCGACTCTGGGACCTGGAGACTGGTAAACAGATAAAGTCCATGGACGCGGGTCCAGGTGAGCTTCTCGTCACTTCGACTACACAATCCAAACTCTTCCAGTCTCAGCTACATCTACAGTGTTTGAGGGTCAAAGTAGTTGAAGAGTTCAGATGCAAAAGCCTCTAAATGCCATTTGAAATTTTCTTCTTTAATGATGATTTTTATCAAACTTGTATATTTAAGTTCAGTAATTTCACTTAAATGGCAATGATAATTACCTATTAATTGTTATATAAGTGAAATTACTGAACTTAAATATACAGGTTTCATAAAAATCATCATTAAAGAAGGAAATTTCAAATGGCATTTAGAGGCTTTTGCATCTGAACTCTTCAGTTGTTCCTTATGAAGACCAGGCTGGAATTATGCAAACTGTAAGACTGAAGTGAGACTGGAATTACGGACAACTCGTTTCGGCAGTTCATATAATAACATTACAATAACTTTAGTCACAAACAGCTATATTTAACTCTACCTGAAAGGCAAGACAGGCACCAGAAAGGCACTTAAAAAAAACAAGAAAATAATAAACACAACAATTTTTTGAAACTTTGAAACATAGAAAATACAAAAAACTATAATAGTATAGTAGTATAGTAACACCTGTGTGACAAACTCTTTCTTTCCCGTCTGCAGTTGACGCTTGGGCGGTCGCCTTTTCTCCTGACTCCAAATACATCGCCACTGGCAGCCATCTAGGGAAGGTCAACATCTTCGGCGTGGAAAGCGGGAAAAAGGAGTACTCGCTGGACACCAGAGGGAAATTCATTCTGAGCATCGCCTATGTAAGAATCTTTGAGTGTCTGAAATGATTCTGCATGGGTAACGATAGTCTGATAGCATTTAAAGTCAATGGCACTAATGTTTTATTTCTGTGAGGAAAAAAAATAGAATATTCAGTGCACATTGGTGTTGGGCCACAAACATTATGATCAAAAATACAGTAAAAACAGTGATATTGTGAAATGCTATTACAATTTAAAGTAGCTGTTTTCTATTTGAATGTATTTTAAAATGTAATTTATTTCAAAGCAAAAAAGAAAATTCCTTATTATTATTAATGTTGAAAACATCTTACATTTCTTTAATGTCACAATGTCGTGTATTTATCATATTTTTTATTTTGAAATATGATTTTTTTTTCTTCAGAGTAATATGCATGCATTGATCAAACATACGAAAGATCATAGACTTTCATATACAGTAGAACGATTAATTTCCTGTCTTGTTGAAATTTGAAAAAAATCATAGAAGTAAAATTAAAACAGTCTAAAATCCATGTCGAACATATTGAACGTGCATGTTTTTGCTCTGCTCAGCTCTTAAATATTTTGTTAGCAAGAAAAAGAGTGTAATTGCTATTATTTTCCAGTAATCACTAACCATGAGACAAGTAATGAAAACAATCATGGAAATGTATAGAGGTTATCCGCGTGGCATCACCGTCGGCCTGCAGTTACTCACAGTGAGTGGCAAAAAGACTGAGCGGCTGTATTTGTTTTCAGCGTGAATGCCGCGAAAAACAAACACAACACATATAAAGTGGGAAAGAGCTTTGCGATTGACTGTACAACTAGATTTGACAAAAAAATCGGAGGAATATTTGTACAGACTGCTTAGAAAGAGGAGCAAATGGATTGATGCAATTCACAGAAACAACTGGACTCCAGTCAGCGAAAGGTGGATTTGCAGTTAGCATTTTGTGTCAATATGCTGAATTTTGCTGTAAAACCATACCCTTATATTTTAGTATTGTTATATATATTAACAACTCATCAGTTAAATATTTATCATTGCATATTCTGCATTATTGGATGTTTTTTAATAAACACTGACCAAAAAAACTTTAAAGTTTTAGGGCTGGACGATATGATGATATATAGGCTATATATATATATATAACACTGATATAAGTGATCACCCAGATTTAGACCTACCTATATTGTATTTATATAAAGCGTTTACAGGCAAATTTGCTTTATGTTTAAGTCTATATTGCTTTTATTTCCCCGGTGTCGAAATCAGGCAAACGTAAATGTCAGGCAACATGATTCCTGGCTGCATGTCAATATCCATGGATCACTGGATCTTTAGTAAGTTGTAAGGAAACACTATATTGAGTCCAACATTTAGTTTAAATTGATAAAATAGTTCGTTTTAGTCGCATTTTCGCAGTTTCCCCTATTAAATCCAGTCACGCAGCAGATCTTTTGCCACTCAGTCAGGCTGAGGGGGTTGTTCCGGCGGGAAAGTGATGTCAAAGATTGTGGGAAACATATAAACAAGGTTTACTTTGGTGTTCTGTTCAAAAAGGAACTACTATCACAAATTACACAGTCCAAATTTCATTTACACTGCACATTAAAGTGAATATTTGAAAAAAATGCTGATTTTTCAAAAAAATATACAGATATTTCCAGGCCCTAATCTCTCTCTCTCTCTCTCTAGAGTCCAGACGGAAAGCACTTAGCCAGCGGTGCAATAGACGGAATCATTAATATATTTGATATTGCGACTGGGAAACTCCTGCACACGCTGGAAGGTGAAAATCGTCTCCCACATGATTCAAGCTGTCTTTAGTTTCCTCTATTAAAGCTCTGTCCGTTCTGTCCTTTGGTCTGCTAGATGCATTTAGAGTGATTATGGGTTACGTGAATGCGGTGGAAAAACCTGTTTGCGTCTCTGGCCGTCCCTCAAGGGTCGTAAACTTCGGCTCCTGTCACTGCGCGACTCCGTTTTTCCTCTTCGTCTTCCTGCGTCGCTCCATCGCTCACTCGTCCCTTTCATTTGCTCCAAAAAGTACAACTGGAAATAATGTTGAATGTAAGATGTGCTTCGGTTTTTGGAATAATTGAGACATTTTAATGTTTGTGAAAGATCTGCTAATACAGTAAAAATATGAAAATATTATTACAATTCAAACTAAAACTTTTTTTTATTTTAAAACGCTTTTCAAAAATATATGTGCTCATTAATGTATATTTACTTCGTTCGAGTAATAAAGTATTCTCGTGAGTGTATAATAATGCCATTGAAAATACATACGGGTAAGGGGTCCTAATGTCGGTCGCCATGTTGCCCCTCCATCTTGAAAGTACATTAGCCAAAGAGGGACATACCCGTTAACTCAAGCTTCGCCTTTCGCGTTTACGTTTGAGTTAACACTCATGGATGAGGTCGAACTGGAAGCCATGTTAATCTTGGACTACATTGGCCACCGTAGGAGTTAAAACGAAATCGGAATTGAGAGGAACAGAAACTAATATTCACTGGATGGTCATTTATCTTTTCACCCCTAGATGGGGGTAAAAATCACACAGTGTAGCTTTAAAATGTAATGTGATTACTCCAGTCTTGAGTGTCACATGATCCTTAATTATTTTAAACTTGTGACAAGTAGTGTGATTGTACTGCTTCATTACTGATTATACCACACAGTCTTAAAGGTACAGTAGCCAATAAGTGGGATGAAAATAAGATGTGCTGTTTTTCCCAGGTCACGCGATGCCTATCAGGTCTCTGACCTTTTCTCCAGACTCTCAGCTGCTGGTTACCGCATCAGACGATGGCTACATCAAGATTTATGACGTGTACGTTTGGATTCAAGCTGATTTATGTGTTTCTTTCACCTCCAAGCACCTCTGAGTCTCACGTTTTTTGTTTATCTGTGTATCTTACAGGCAACACGCTAACCTGGCCGGGACACTCAGCGGTCACGGGTCCTGGGTCCTGAACGTGGCCTTTTCACCCGACGATACGCACTTTGTGTCCAGGTAAGAGCTGATGCACCTCAAATGAAGGGAAATCAAAATGTAGTTTGTGTTTCTGAACTCTTATTTGTTGCTTTTTGTAGTTCATCTGATAAGAGTGTGAAGGTGTGGGACACAAGCAGCAGATCATGTGTGAACACGTTCTTTGATCATCAGGACCAGGTGAGTGACGTTACACTACCGTTCAGTACGAGAACTTTTTTTTTTTTAAAGAAAATAGTACTTTTATTCAACAAGGTGCATACAAAGTAGATCAAAAGTGCAATTTATAATATTACAGAGTACTTTTTGAAATAAATACTGTATATTTGAACTTTATTTTCATCAAAGAATCCTGAAAAAAAAGTATCACGGTTTCCACAAAATATCAATCAGCACTGATAATAAGAAATGTTTTTTGAACAGAAAATCAGCATATTAGAATGATTTTCTGAGGAGGAAGGATGCTGAAAATGTTCAATTATGGTGTGTGTGTGTAGGTTTGGAGTGTGAAATACAACCCCACAGGCTCAAAAATCGTCTCTGCCGGTGATGACCGAGCCATTCACATTTACGACTGTCCGAAGTGAAGCTCTGATAGCCACACCCACTCAAGACCACAACATGCATGCAAATGATTTTTTATTTCATAGTTTCATTGCAATGTCAACATCTATATATGGTGATACAATTAAATGTTGTTTTTTTTCTAAAAAACTTCTCGCTGTCTCGCTTGTTCAGGATTCACATGTTCATTTTGACAGATGACATTTTTACTAGGTAGTATGGTAATCATTATAGTTTAATTTCTTAATTAATGACTTTAAAATCAAATCAAATGTTAAAATTCCCTGTTATTTCCAGCTTTTTACACGACTTTAGTGCAAACATGGCTCTTCTGATCAATTCACGCCCTCTACATGCCACCAAATGTAACTGCACCACCATTAGCAATTGACATACTTTTTCTTTTACTGTATAGCAGACATGTAAAAATTATTTTCTTAACAATCCAGTGCAGAACTTGACTATTAAATGCTTTAGAGTGTTTGTGAGCTACACTAGCAAAGAAATCCCAAACGGTTCTGTTCTTGTGCGGTTCATTTAATTCACACCTGATTAATTCACACACAGATTCAGTTAGAAACAATCTACTGTGGCATATGAAGCATATTTATAAAACATATCATCTGTGAAAGTTTTGGCCCCAAAACACAGTTCTGAAAGTGAAAGACAGGGTATAATATAGTCCAAATGAGGATGAATTATCATACAGTAGAACATGATACTTTCTAAGTTTCTGACTAATGTTTTTCACACAATTTGAACCCTGGGTTCAGAAATTAATTTACATGATTTATCCTGTTGCACACAAAGAGCAGCTTCAAGCCAATAGGATATTATACTATTAGTAAATTTGTATTTGCTTTAAATCTTTGCAGTCATGAATTTCACAATAAATTTGCACTGATATTTCCAAAACCATGAATAACTTACAGCAATCTTTAGTCAAGGCTTGCCTTATTAGATATTCATTACTTTTCTACAGTCAGAAACTTTCACACGTCTTCGGGCACCGGTTCAGGACTGTAAAAAGGTTCAAATTATGATGTGATTGGCCAACTCAAATTGACAAGGTAACAACACGACCTTTGATTGGTTCTTACTCCGGCTAACATTTTGTGGTTAGCTAGCGAGATTTTATCTACGTTATATATTTTTAATGTGCAATAATTGACGTTGGAAACAAATAGTAATGTGCTAAACAACAATTTATATAGCCAGTTATAAATAAAAAAAAATTAACCAGTTCCCTGGAGATCTATTAAATCGAAAAATAAAGGAGAAAAGCAGACTTGGCCTCAGCAAAAACGCATTCTGTGTGAACACCGGCACAAACCCAGGGTTTAAAACGTACAGTGTGTGATCTCACAACCTGAAAATCAGAAAATTAAAAATTCCCAATGGTTTCAAATGTTTAAAGTCCATCTATGGGCTGCGTCCCAAAACGTAGGCTGCTGACTTGTTGCCTTATCAGGCAATGATTACAGGCGACGTTTGCGCACAAAGGTTGCCTGATTTCACAAACTTCTGAGGCAGTGTGTAACGGACTAAAAATCTACAGCAAAATAGAGCGAGCTTTGTTGTTAAGCAAATATTTAATACAACAGTAATATCTATCTGTACATGTTGGTCAAAAACGTACATTTACAAACAAACTGACCACCAACCACAACTTTCAGGCACCATATTTATTTTTTAGCTCAACTGTCATGGGATGGAAAGCACCGGACTGTGGGATATCAAAGGCAGCGAAGGATACATCTGTACTGCCTTAAAAAATGGATCAGATGAAGGTTTCTCAGGAGACAGGAAGTAAAGCTAACGTTGCTTTTCTTGATGCCTTGGAAATCATCCTCCGAGGGCAGCATTTTTAAGATTTCGGACTCATTCTTCCTAGCATGTAACAGATGTGATTACCTCACTTCCCGTCATATGAAGTGAAGGGCACTGCATGAGATTCACCAGAAAGTCTCAAATTCACCATGTCAAAGTATTTTTCACTTCAAAACCTCTGATAAACAAACACATACCAGGCGAAAAAGACAAATAAGGAGCTCCATGACGTCTCGTTACAAAATACTAGTATGGGCCAGAGTTCACGGGAACAGAAGAAAGGTCACAAAATATACAAAATCCACCAGAAAGGAAATAGATTCACATTTGCCTGGTCCTTATAAATGGTGAGAAAATAAAAAAGGCATCTGTTTAAAAGGCTGAGGTATAGCGTCAGTGTTTTCACCAGTGTCTAGTGTCCACCAGTTCAGGACGCAGACTGAGTCTCTTCAGTGTCTCGTAACCGATGACGATCATGACAGACGTGGGCAAGGAGGAAATGATGCGTGCAGAGAGACCCTTCGTGAGACCCCACGCTCCCTCTTCGGCCAGGAGCTGCTTAAACGTCTCGATCACAGACGAACGACCTTCAACCTGCAAACACGCGCGCAGTGTATTATCTCACAAAGCTCAACTCTGTATTTATCACAATTATTACATGATAATGCATTTTAAAGAGCCACATTTTGAAAGACAAGAACAGTTGTTGCTTTTTTAAATAGAAGTGTGATATACTATTTGTAGCAAAAACATGTGATATGATCACATTATCAAAATGATTAACTCCAACCTGAACCTGATGATGATCAACAGTGTCTATCAACTTCATCAGTACACAGAGATAAGTCAGGTTAGTTTATAATAGAGCTCATTTACATATAGAATTCTTAAAGATACCATCTCTTTATTTGTCAAGCACTTTGGTCTTTAAAAAAGGCATTTTACATTCACAAACAGCTTTAGTACATGCTGTATGCAATTTAATATTTGAAAAAGCATAATAGAGGCACTTTAAAGTGACTGATTTGGCTGTGTTCGTACCTGTACTCTGGCTCGGACCACGTCCATAGGGTTGGTCAGGGTGGAGGCTGTCGCGGCAGCCATCGGTCCCGCCACGGCCTGCAGGAGGAGGTGCGGACAGTCGGCAGGGGCCAGTTTAGAGAGCTGCTCTGGAAACACACACAGTGTGTTTAAATGTTAATAGTTAAACAACCTACTCGCACCCTCAGATCAGTTGGACGTGGCTGTGATTACAAGAGGTAAAAACGATATAAACACTGTTCGTTTTCTCACACAAACCGCTCGTTTCGTGTCTTAGGCCATCAATGTGTACTTACATTTACGAGTCATTTAATCATGTTTAATTTGGACTTCTCTGTGCATGCTCTTTGAGGTGGTGACCATAGACCTGCATTATATGACACCTATTAAAGACACCTACATCTTGGATGCCCTTGAGGTAAGCTAAAACATACCACAAATTAATTTCAAAGTGAATTTGTACATGTTAATTAATCTGCGTTCTAAACAAATGCGTTGCAGCATTGTAACTCGCTCGCACATCACGGGCACACGGAAACATAAACACTGTTCTGTGATTTATCAATAAAACAGTACTGAAAGGTAACTAAAAGAGGTTCAGGCTTATTTGTTCATTAATGACATAATCGGCGTCGATTACTTTAATTTAATTAATCGCATCCAAGATAAAAGTTTGTGTTTACATAATATATGTGGGTGCACTGTGTATAATTATTTTATATATATAAATACACACACATGCTTGTATATATTTAAGAAATATTTTCATGTTTATACTGTATATAGATTTATATATAATTTACTAATACATTATATATAAATATAAATATGTTGTACATAAAAAATATTATTTTCTTAAATATACATGCATGTGTGTTTTTTTATATATATATACTAAATAATTATACACAGTGCACCCACATATATTATGTAAACACAAACTTTTATTTTGGATGTGATTAATCATGATTAATCGTTTGACGGCCCTACTTTAATTTCATAAATGTGGACTTTAAAGCAGCACTATGTAACTTTTTCAACCTTTATAATATTTTGGTGGTACATGATGGTACATAAACTTACAATAGCATGACAGTGTCTGTATCGCTTTCACTGGCACTATGTAACTTCGGGTTTCGGGTAGGAACCCAAGCACACAAAAAAAACTACAAAATTTGACTGCTTTACGGCACACATCACTTCCCACACTTCCTCAAATTCTAACGTGCGAACCCAATGAGCGTTTTTTTTTTTTTTTTCCCTCTGTATGTTGTCATGGCTGAAGCAGCATGTAAAACCAAGAAGCCAAAGGTTTTGTCGGAGGTCAGTAGAAAGAGAAAAAGGGAGAGTGACCAAATAAAAGGCAGGACAAGGATCAATATTGGTCCAGCTAAAGGAGGAGGAGGGGTGCCCGACCGATGCTGGCCGTCAAAAACTAAATAAATCAGTGAGCCTATGTCTTAACGGTGTGTGTAATTTTGGTAGGGCTACATTCTTGCAAGTAAATAATACATGATTAGGCGGACACGGACAATACTGTTTCCCAACTGTAGGGGGACCCCGAGAGCAAAATTTCAAAAGTTACCTAATGCTGCTTTAAGAAAAACAATTTTGATGCATCACTAAATATTTATTTTCTTTACCTCCATAAAAGTGATAAAAGGGCCACCAGACGGCGCTGTTGGGTATGTAGGTGAGCAGGGACGCCACATATCCGCGATAAAAACCCCGAAATCCATCCGTGTGAAAAATCAGAACCGCAATGTCTCTGGTCTGACCAAATGTGATTTTGTTTTTGGACGTGGTCATCGCCATCTTGGGTTTGAGTTTGAAGCGTGTGAGCTGACACCCCTGCCCCTGCACCATCAGCTGCTGGGACACCACGTCGATGGGCACCGTGATGCTTTGGGCCACCAGTGACGCCGCTCCGCCCGCCACCAGAGACTTAACCGTGTTATCGGACGTGTAACAGGACACATATTTCCTTACCAACTCGTAGGTAGTGATGTAGGCCTGACCTGAGATCAGTGTGAACGAGTTGACCATGAACCCTCGGTAAAGGCCACGCGCCCCCTCGGCCTTCAGAATCTTACAGAAGGCGTCGAAGGTGCCGTTATAGAGCGACTTGCCCTTCTGCACCTGCAGTCTGGTGCGGATCAGGGTGAACGGGTAGACGGCGGCCCGCGTGGTCATGGTCATGAAGACGCCCAGCGAGTAGAACTTCCTCTTGTCCAGATCCTCCCATTCAATGATCTGAATGTTGCGCTTCTGTTGCATCATTGCGGCCGATGACCTCACACACTAAATCACACGCACGCACACTCGCTCCTCTCCCGCATAACCTGAAATGACAAATGTTTTGTCATAGAGCTGAAGGTACAGAGTTCAAATGTCATGTGACAGCTGGGTAATGTTCTTCTGCAGAGATAATGTCTTGACACGTGTAAACAAAACATAGTGTATGATATATAACATCTGAGATGTGAACTATGCATTTTAGCCATCATAGCAATGTATTTTATTTATTTATTTTTCTTGTTATAAAAAGGTTAGGGTTACTCCACCCCAAAATAAAAAATTCTGTCATTAATTATTCACCATCATGCTGTTCCAAATTAAAATAAGACTTTCATATTTTAAGATATTTTTGATTACATTAATATTTATGTGTGAATAATTGATGAAAAATTAATGTTTATATGTGAACAAAAGCCTAAATTCAATCTGTTCATCATATAAAGTGATTTTAAAGTCCAGAAAAATTGGACAAAACAACCACTCAATTAATATGAATTAGTTTTACGATCTCTTCATGAACTTTTTAAAGTTTAAAGCGTCAAAGTGGTAGTTGCGTAGCTGTCAATGGAGGGACAGAAAGTTCTCAGATTTCATTAAAAATATCTTTAATTCTTAAGATGAACGAAAGATTCAATATTTTTGTAGTCCAAATTTAACAATGTGATAGTCAAAAGCAGGTATTCCATGTTTTGTCTTCAACCACTCATACGATCATACTATCCCAAAAGGACTTAACAATCGTACAATTGTAGAAAGAAAATATCTTTTTGACAGAATGTATCCTAATTAGACCTTACTCTTATAAATGCAGTACATGGATAAATGTCACTTATGTCGCCGGCCCTCTAGAACTGCACATGCGCATTACACAAGACAATATACCACCTGACAGACCTGACACCCCGGCAAAAAAAAAAATCTCGCCCGTCAGAATTACATGACACTTCATTTGACCTCCCGGACACACAGTAACTCACTCGGTTAGCTCGCCATATTTGCTGTTTCTCCATCCAGCGGCCTCAAACGGATCTGTGCGGTCCTGTCATGAGATAAATCCGCTAATATTCCTCTAAAAAATGCATTTTCTCTGATCGATCAGCGGCCTGCAGCTCCTGATGAAAAGTCATGTCGATCGAGCCGAGCACTTGCTCCGCCACACTTCCGGCGCATGCTCAAACGTCACTGACAGGACGAGCGACCGCGAGCGACCTCTGCTGCCTGCTGATGGTCATTGACACAGGAAGAAATATAAAATTTAGTATATACACATACTATTCTATATTTTATACTATATTTTATATATACTATACTAATATTATACAAATGAAAAAATAACACGAAAAACAATTTCTTTTTACAATTAACAATCTTTACATTGTCTATTACTGTAAAATTGCTACTTGTCTATTAAAATGATTTTAAGCTATATGTTATATAGTATATATAAAATCATTTCAATAAATCATTATTAATTAATAAAAGTGATGAAGGGTAGTGTTTGTTGATTGGATAGCGATGTGCTAGATGCTTTTAGCTGATTGGACAGTTCTCCAGGGAGGAACTGTTCGCCGGTTGGCTGCTGGTGTGGCTCGAGCGACTGGAGTCGTGTTAATATCAGAACTCATCATGGCGCTGGGTTCACCTCAGAACGGTAAGTACGGGTTTTAAATGACAAAAAAATAACAATATTTATCTCATTTACGCTCTGACAGAGAAGTATGTAACCGGTTATATGCGAAGTCACAAATGTGTGTCAAAGCAGTCCTCAAATATTCACTTTTAAAAGGATGAAAGAGTCGGTTTTGTCGTTAGCACTGCGGCTAGCGGCGAGAGAGAGCGACTGACGTCCATTCTCGCGTGCGAATACATGATGCAGCTCACGCGATCTAAAACTGATGTGTGTCAACTCAATGAGATGCCGAGCTTGACAGCTTCAGTTTAACGCGTCTTTAATGTCCAAAATATTGTCTAGCCAGGCAGCTTAATAGGAACAATGCACAATGAATCTTATAATGCAGGATGCTCGATTATTATGTTGTTTACAATAACACACATGTACCATGGTACTACCATGCATTTTTTGTTAATTTTGTTAATTTTTTGTTAACTATGTTAATTCCATAGTGTTCTTACTTTGCTGTGCTATGCCAAAGTATTCTAATATAGTAATTATTCAGTACCATTATGTGTATTATATCTGATTTTTGAAGAAGTATTAAGAATTGTATTTTCTAATTGATCTATACCATGTTACTGGCACAGATAACAACGTTTGTAAGGGAAAAGCACACTTCTTTGTATTTATTTCTTCACAATTATACAATTACGTGGTCTTCTAATGAGGTTGTTCTCTCTGGTGTAAACGGTTCATAAACATTAAACTTTTGGGGGGGGGGGAACTTTTTGGAAAAAGGTGATTCTAGACAAATTATTATATTAAATGGTAATAGCTACCCCGAAGATTAAGACTCAACTCGTCATTAATCACTCACCCTCATGTCGTTGCAATGCAAACCATTAAGACTTTCATTCATCTTCGAAACAAAAATGAAGATCTTTTTGGTGAGATCTTAGCGCTTTCTGTCCCTCCATTGACAGTCAATGCAACTGTCACTTTCAAGGTCCAGAAATGTAGTAAAGACATCATAAAAAAACAAAAACATGAGGGTGAGTAATTAATGACAGAATTTAAATTTTTGGGTGAACTATCCCTTTAAATGAGCTGGTTTGTTTAAATAGCTTAATGTATTAGTGTCTTAAAATTAACTTAGTCTTGAAAAGCAAGTCACAGCAGGTATACACTTTATGGGAATCATTGTATATGGATGGGACAAGACCCACCCACCTTTTAAGACCAATGATATTGGATGAACTCACTTATATGCCTGTTTCAGAGCACCATCAGTCAAAATCATTCCACTTGAGCAATGGCCTAATAAATGAAACTACATGCATTTCTGCTGAGTCATCATATTTCTCAACAAGCCGTTTTACCCTTCCAGTGAAATATTGCGTTACAAACATCAATAACAGATTTAAGTTGTCAAATGCTGGCAAATGACCATGGTTTCAGCAGTGGGATAATCCACGGATAGCTGTGCGTTTTAATGCACAACGTGAAGTGGAGTTTAGTTTATTTGTTTAATTAAAAGGCACCAGAATACATGAAATGGCATTTGTTCCAGTAACATTTTTCTGGTGGAGGACCCAACCACTTTTTTTTTTTGCTTCCAACATTTGGTTCCCAAGGTCTCCTAAACTGTAAAGCATTGTGTGGATGTTTTAGGAACATTATGATTCTAAACACATTTGGCCTTTTTTTTTTTAGATAAACACTTGTTGTGAATATTATATTTTTCTAGTTGCTTACACTTCTTCATCATGCTGACGTTACTAAAATAACATCTAGCTCTCCAACAATAAATAAATAAATATAAATTTAAATGATGATAGAAGAAGGTATTAGAAAGTGTGTTCTTTCTTCACGTTAGCGCTCTGATCCTGCTGTAATCTGCTTGTCTGTCAGCGAGTGTGTTATTTACTTTTCGCACCCAGTGTCTTTATCTTCCGTGTCGTAAATAAAGATCAGGGTATTTTTATGTTCATGCATATTATGTGGTGGATGCAAGTTTGTGTTCCTTTGCTGCAGTTTTATCTAACCTAATCTAACATGTGCAGCAGACGCAGGGTGTGAGTGATAAGTGTGTGTCTGTGCTTGTTCATCTTCCTCCACACATGCGATCACACTGGGACTGCTGAAATACACTGCTGTGTGTTTTATATCAGGATTTAGTTTTGTTGTCCTCTCTTGGTTTAGAGAACCGTCACACACATTTTATTTCTGCATGGATAGGAATGATGGACATGTTTTTGAAATGTCTTCTGACAGTATACAGATCTCACTGCAAACAGTGTTGGTGAAATTCTAACACAACCTGTTTCACTTCTGTGTGTCTATTAGGATCACTCTGTGGAAGTTACTTGTTGTGTGTGTGTGTGTGAGAGAGAGATATATTCAACTATTCCAACAGTGTTTTTCAATGCAATCCTGGATCTAAACAAAGTACACCCCAAAACGCACAGTAAATGGCTTTTTTTTATACACCATTTTGATAAAGGATGTCTGTGTCCTTCAAAAATAAACTTTATAGGTGAGCGGTTCTTTAACAAATGTTTCAAAAGACAATCATGACGGAGTAGTATATTCCAAAGCTTGCGTACTATTCTGCACTAAAAGTAGCACACTCAAAAGTATATACTTTATCTTCACAAAAAAAGTACATTGTTTTAGGGCATAGCCATAAGTAGGTGAATTGTGAATTGTTATATGAGGCCTGCAGGTCTGCTGTAGTCTGATTCTGTTTGGTTGTTGCAGGACAAACTCAAATCCGATTCTTTTCCGTCTCTGTTGCACAAATTTATCAGCTCCTTCTCAGTGTTTTTCACCAAAATGCTCAATAAAGGCTTGTATTCTCTACAGAACATCCGTTTGGCGATTTGATCGAAACTCTCCGGAGCGAACAATATGAAGAGCTGAGGTATTTCAACCCACTGAAGCTCAGTGATGATGCCAGATATGGTGAGTTAGGGTCTTTAACTAAATAATTCATGCATAGATACAACTGACATCACTTATAAGAAAAATGTAAAGTCTTGCAAAAGCACTAACTGGCTCTTTTTCTTGTAGAGAAACTGCCGTTCTGCATGCGGGTTCTCCTGGAGTCCGCCATTCGGAAGTGTGACGGGTTCTACATAAAGACAGAGGATGTCTCTAATATTTTGGACTGGCAGACGCAGCAGAACCAGGCCGAGGTGGTGTTCTCTCCCGCCAGGGTTCTGCTGCAGGATTTTACGTGAGTTATTCATTTAGCTGACGCTTTTATCCAAAGTGACTTACTATTGCTATATATGTCAGAGGTCGCACACCTCTGGAGCAACTAGGGGTTAAGTGTCTTGCTCAGGGACCCGGGTCTCTCACACCAAAGGCATGTGTCTTATCCACTGTGCCATCACCACCCCATTATCAAATAGGGATACACGATTTGTGGAAAAGAAATCAAATTGTGATTAAAAAAAATCCAGGTTTAAGAACACGGTGCAGCGCTAAACATACAGCGCATACATTTAATTCAGTCACAGCCTTTACAGTTTGATTATAACACTAAGCCATATTGTTATATTTATAATATCTGCATATTAACTGGGCCTGTTCATAAAGTTGGATGTGTCCTGATGCCTCCATTGTGTTTCTTCACAGGGGAATTCCTGCTATGGTGGATCTGGCAGCCATGAGAGATGCTTTAGCTAAACAGGGGGTTGATCCAAACCTGGTGAACCCCAGATGCCCCACAGACCTCATCGTAGATCATTCGCTGCAGATCGACTACAGCAAATGGTGAGAGTGAACACATGGGCTTGAGAAGGGATTAAAACAGTATTTATGTTTAAAAACCAATAATTACAGCATTAACAAACAATGATTATGCCCAGACGTCCCAATGTACACAGTAATTAGGGTAGTGATGTATTGTGAAATGTAAACAGTCTCTTTTTATGAACTTAAGTTTTCACTGTCAAGCGTCAAAATCACTAACCACGGTTTACCTCATTTCTCAGTGGCATCCAGAGCCCTTCAATCCCCGTGGATGAGAGTCAAGGTGCCGCTGTCAGATCTCCTGCCGGTCGACCATCTCCGCGAGGGAGTCACTGTACAGGTCAACGCCCGGGTCATCGGGGAGGCTGCAGTAAAGCCTCCTGCTCGGACGCCCCCAGTGGCAGAACCGCAGCAGTGCAGATAGAGAACACACCCCCCCTGTGCCCCTTCCACCTGCAGCCCGTGTCAGAGTACGTCTACACCTCGCACACACTGTTAGATTTAAGGTTCTATGTGCCTCATTCTAGTCCTTTAGCAATTAGCATTTGAATGAACAATGAACTCAGCGCTGAGAGAGTTTCTCTCAAGTTTATTAGTATCTTTGTCTCAGAAGATATAGCAAGAATATGAAGGGAGCATCATAGAGTTGACCATTTAAAGGTGCAGTGTGCAACATTTAATGTTAAAAATAGCCGTTTTTCTAACCCATACATGCTTAAACAATTGCCTGATGAGCTGAATGAGCCCTTCTCTGATCACTGCGATAACCTCTATAATCCTGTACAGTAAAATAAATAAGAGGGATTCGGGACGGAGTTTGTGACGTCAAGCTCACCTGGCTATGTCTGGCAGGTTTGTGTATTCGCCGCCATTCTCCGTATAAACGAAGACAATTCGAGCGACAAAACTTTAGTCAACTACAAAGTAATGACTTATATTGTTCATGAACGTGTTTCCATAATAATACAATCATATGTGGATACAGTAAACGCATAAAACAGTTCAACATGGAGATAGATGGAAACAAAAACCGAAGTTTTCTACTACCCCGTTCACACACACACACACACACACACACACACACACACACACACACACACACACACACATAAGTGTGTAATTTACTCAAATGCCTTTCCTTTCATATATTTAAAATGACTTGCAGATTTATAACTTTATTACCTCTGAACACATTATGACTGTAACAAAAAAATTTGTGCTTGTGGTAGGGGTTGAACTGACTAGTCGACCTTAATGCAATGCCGTGACGCTTTAAGCTTGACGTTGACTAGTCGCGTTGATCATGTGACACTATATGATTGCGCTAATTTTTATACTATTTGGCCGCATTCCAGACGACAAGAGTTGAAGAGCCCAGAGGGTCATTGCAGCAAGAAAGCAGTGGTACATTGGTACATAAAGTCTATGGAAATACTATCTTAGCACAGTAATGGAAATACTATCTTAGCACTATATTGTTGAAAACGAAAGTAAAAGCATGACGAAACACGCAGATCATTTCTGTTGCTTTTCGATGATGTGAACTCCGTTAAATCTGCATATAGTGCGTTGATTGAATATCGGATTTAAATCCGTTTTGCGAAAACACATTTATGTGACCAGGTGTAAATGGAATCCATGAAGTGTCCAGGTGTAAACGGACCCATTATGAGCTGTCAGCTTCTGTATAATTTTCGGTTAATTAATTGCATATCGTGGCATGTTGCAAATCCGTCACATGAATGATGTCAGCGACTAGTCGACGTCGACTCGACTTTGATGTCGTAACAGTCGACTTCAAAAAATCTGAAGTCGTTCAACCCCTAGCGAGTTGTCCATGAGCGTGCACACCTCTGGTTGCAGTTTCGCTTGTCGCCAGAGGGGGCGTAGTTCTGCAAAAACTCAGAGACTTGCGCAATGCACCTTTAAGATAGTGTATACCTTACATCATTTAGGAATACGATACATTGAATAACAAGTCCATACTAATACACGCTCTCACATGACTCAGTTTGCTTTCACTGATGTGCTGATTTCTGTCTGACGCACACAGGCCTGAAACTATGATCAGGAATCAAGAGATGGAGCTAACCAGAAACAAAGAGAGATTAGAGTTCTTTAAGGTGAGTTTTCAGTGATTTATATCTACACAAAGACAACATTACATGCCATTCGCATCGCTGTTTTCAACATTTAGGGATAATAATAAAAGTTTCATGAGCAGCAAATCAGCATGATTTCTCAAGGATCATGTGATGCTGAAGACTGGAGTAATGATGCTGAAAATTTTGCTTCCCATCACAGTAATAAATTGTTTTGAAATATATTCAAATAGAAAACAGTTATTTTAAATTGCAATAATTCATAGTATTACTGTTTTTGATCAAATAAATGCAGCCTTGGTGAGCATATGAGACATATCCTTTGAACAGTAGTGTAAGTCTTGAGTTTGTGACCGTTCTCTCTCTCTCCAGTGGTGTTCAAAAGCCTTCAAAAACATCAACGTGGTTCCTCCAGACATCAACACAGTGCATCAGGTGAACCTAGAGTACCTGTGTCAGGTGGTACAGGAAAGGGAGGGGTTTATTTATCCAGACAGCGTGGTGGGAACGGACTCCCACACCACCATGATCAACGGCCTCGGGATCCTGGGCTGGGGTGAGCACGATGTCACAAGTTACTGTTATCATTAGTGAAATCTTCTGTTTTGTTTTCCTCACGATGTCGCTCTCTTTCAGGAGTCGGAGGCATTGAATCAGAGGCGGTCATGTTAGGTCAGCCAGTGTCCTTAACTTTGCCACAGGTTGTCGGCTGTAAACTCTTTGGGACCATCAGTCCTCTTGCAACGTCCATTGATATCGTACTGGGCATTACAAAGGTACAGCGAGGTCTGCAGTGAGTTTGTATCTGAAGAAATAACATATCATTCACTGTCTGACCTTTGTGTTTCAGCATCTGCGTCATGCGGGAATCGACGGGAAGTTTGTGGAGTTCTTTGGGCCTGGTGTACCGCAGCTCTCGGCTTCTGATCGGACCACTATCGCTAACATGTGCCCGGAGTACAGCGCCACCGTGAGCTTCTTTCCTGTGGATGACATCACCCTGCAGCACTTTAAACACACCAGTATGGACTGCTCTTTGTACTGAAGACTAAAAATACTGAAGTGATATCGAGGGTGTAATTTGACGCACACATATTTTTCTGATCAGTCTGCAGTGAGGAGAAGCTTGTGGTTTTAGAAGACTACCTAAAGGCTATCAAACTCTTCAGAACCTACGATGAACAATCAGAAGAGCCGCAGTATTCGGAGGTTGGTTCATTTATTTTTTAATGAACATTTCTGTCACTTTTAATCAATTAAATGCATCCTTGCTGATTAAAAGAAATCTTAAAATCTTTTGAAAGGTAGTGTAAATCATTGAGGAACCTCATAGGTCAGTTGTTAACAAATGTGATGTGGTCGGTGTCGTAGGTCATCGAGATGAACCTGAGCTCCATTGTGCCTCATGTCAGCGGACCCAAACGGCCACAGGATAGAGTGGCCGTGTCTTGCATGAAGGAAGACTTTATTAACTGCCTGAATGAAAAGGTAAATGCACATATTAGCATACACAAAGTATTTGTCAATTAAGTAATGGTACCAAGTTGCTAGCTGGGTTTGTTTTTGTGCCGTCCATGTATGTGTAGGTGGGTTTTAAGGGCTTCCACATATCCAAAGACAAGCAGGCAGCTCTGGTCCCGTTCCTGCATGAGGGGGCTGAGTACAACCTGGCACACGGATCCGTCGTCATCGCTGCCATCATCAGCTGCACCAATAACTGCAACCCGTCCGTCATGCTGGCCGCAGGTTAGGCGTCAGGACATCTGTAGATCTGGTGTGCGCTGGTTGCGCAGTGTTTAGTGCATCTCACGTGTACGTCTTGTGTTTTGTTCAGGTCTATTAGCGAAGAAAGCCGTCGAGGCTGGTCTAACGGTAAAACCGTACATCAGGACCAGTCTGGTGCCCGGCGGTGGAACCGTCACACATTACCTGAACACCAGCGGAGTCCTGCCCTTCCTCAAGAAACTCGGGTACACACAACATACACACAATATTAGATGCAGGTACTTGTGCACACCAAGGTTATTATTGGTAATGGAATCTATCACTAAAACGAAAGATGTAGTAAAAAAAAAAATATTTATAAATTGTGTATAATTGTAAAATGTATATTTTAAACATTTCTTTAGTATTTATTGTTTTTATTTTATATTTTTATTTATAAATATTCAATACGTTTTATTTAATGAGCTTTTGTAGGTTTTTTGTGTTCTTCTAATCCTATAATAAATATATATATATATATATAATATTAAGTCATAATCATACTCTGATATATTTTATATTATGTCATAATCATACTCTGATATATATATATATATAATGTGTATTAAAATATGTATTATATTATTTATGAAATATATATATATATATATTATATTATGTAATATTTATCAATTAAACAGAAATAAAAAATATGAAAAATAAATTAAGTGGATTAATTATTTATTAATACAATTTATAAATAAAATAACAATCATTAACGACAACTATTACTAAAACAAAAAAAATACCTCTAACATTTAAAAAATATATTTATAATAAAAAAATGAGTAATATAATATTTTAATATCACATTTTTTACAATTCAAAATACAAATAAAAAAAATACAATTTATTAAATGATAAAAATAAAGTGAATAAAAATAAATAATGTGTATTAAAATATGTATTACATAATTTATGAAATATGTCTATATATTATATTATGTAATATTTATCAATTAAACAGAAATAAAAAATATGAAAAGTAAATTAAGTGGATTAATTATTTATTAATACAATTTATAAATAAAATAAAAATCATTAACGACAACTATTACTAAAACAAAAAAATACCACTAGCATTTTTAAAAAATATATTT